TCTAATTTTAACTTTTCTAACAATGCCTAAAGTTAACTAGTGTCCTTTTTCTACTCCTCAGCATGATAGTGAACTTAGAATGTTTTAACTTCCTTTTGAGTTTATCATCTTCCATTGTTACATATTAATTTTATGTCCCACCTTTATAATCTCAAAAATGAGTTATATTTTATTTATTTATTTATTTATTATTTTATTTTATTTTTTAAATTAGTTTCAGATGTACAATACAGTGCAATAGTTATACTTTTTACCCCTCAAAGTGACAACCCCCCCAATCCGCCACCCCTCTCCCCCCTCCATATCATACATATCTATTACAATTTCATTGACTCCACTCCCACACTATATACTCCACGTCCCGTGACTATATATATATATATATATATATATATATATATATATATATATAGTCACTTAAAGTTGACATGCAATATTATACAACATCAGCTTCAGGTGTACAGTGCAGTGATCAAGCCTCTACCCCATCCATGAAGCAAGACATGTGCCCATCTGACACCCTACAAAATATTTACAACATTATTAATTATATTCCCCGAACTGTCTTTCATATCCCTGTGGCAGTATTATACTTACCTATTTATGCTGTCTAGTTCCTTTCCCTTCTCCCTCATCCCCACCCCTTTCCCAACTAGCAGCCATCCGTTTTTCCTCTATATCTCTGAGACTATTTCTGTTTACTCCGCTTGTTAATTCAGTTTTTGAGATTTCACATATAAGTGAGATCATATGGTATTTGCCTTTCTCCAAATGACTTACTTCACTTAACATAGTAGTCTCTAGGTCCATCCATATTGTTGCAAATGGTACGATTTCATTCTTCTTTATAGCTGAGTAATACTCCATTGTGTAAATGTACCACAATTTCTTACAGTTTCTTAATCCAGTCATCTACCGATGGGCATTTCGATTGTTTCCAAGTCTTGGCTATTGTAAATAGTGCTGCAATACACATAGGGGTGCATATATTTTTTCAAATTAGCGTCTTGAGTTTCTCTAGATAAATACCCAAGAGTAGAATTGCTGAGTCATACAGTAGTTCCATTTCCAGTTTTTTGAGATACTTAATGTTTAGTCAAAAAAATGGTAATGACCACAGAAAAATCATAACTTTGCCTGTGGATTAAGATTGCTTGGCACAGTTTCAGCTGGTAAGCTCATTTTTATGGTCCTGCTCTACCATGCAAAGCAAGAGCAGCTTGTGATTTATTTTTCAGCTCAGTTTTTCATTTGTCTGCTTGATAGAATGCAACAGAGATACTCGGAGAGGAAGAACATGACATTTTCACGGGATGTTCCTCCCTATCACCCAGAATACCAGTTAATGTACCTTAGGCACTCAGTAAATGTTTGAGTAAATCAAGGGTTGAGGAAAGGGGGAGTCTGGGTATCGTGGGAGGGGATCGGCTGGCCTGGAGCTGTCCCTGTGAACATGTCCAGTCTGCCCCAGGGCCTCCTGCCAGCCCTCAACACAGGACATAGAGGATTTCCCTGTCAAGTGTGAAGCCAGTGCTTCTGGAACCCTGAGGCTCATAAGTTCTGAGGAGCATCCCTCTCCAGGGCCGAATGCCAACGCTGTGCCCACCTCCTCCCTCTAGACCTCTCCCTATCTTTGTGTCCAGGATCAGCGCTCGCCACTTTCTTTCCCTGAGCCTGCACTCTCCATTGGCCTGTGTGCCCTTGGGGTGGGGGTGGGAGGACAGCCACCTCACCCAGGCCAAGGCAAACAAAGGCAGGCCCTCTGGACGCTCCCAGCACCCAAGTCCAGGCCCACAGTGCCCCCCTGCCCCTTTTGGTCTCAGACACAAGTCTCCAGCATTTAAGGGACACAGCTCTGAGCCAAAAAACCTGGCATCTGCTCTCCTGTCATTTCCCCCCTCCCCCCTTATCCCAGGCCCCTCATGGGATCTTCTGTGTCATTTCCTGCCCAGTCAACTCCTCATCCCCTCAGTCCCTCCACTGCCCCTGACTCTAGAAGCAAGGCTCTCAGCATTAACTGGCTAGACCCAGGGTGACCTGGTCATTAGGCAGGTCCTCCTTAGGGAGGAAGAAAGAGATATAATCCTTTGTTTAGGTCTAGATGTTAACTTGACCTGAAATGAAACCAGATCTTGCTGCATACAGGAAAGGGCAGGGAGGGCAATCAGAGACTTGATTTTTAAAAAGGCAAAGAGGGCAAAATTCACGGTAAGAAAAGATGTGACTCCAGAAGGAAAGAAGCCAGGTAGAATCTTGTCTGCTCGAAGGCTGGGTTAGGGGAGCTGAAGATGGGACAGCCCCTGTATCGGGCCTAGTCCCCAGGGCCTCTGAAGACCAGCAGAGTCAGGGCCTTCCTCTGAAACCCAGAGGGGTCATCCTCCAGCAGACTTGGTACCTCTTTGGGTCCAGGAAAGCATGTGAGCTTTTGTTTTTGTTTTTGTTCTACACTTTGTGGCTTATCATGTTCTCCAGAATAGCTCAAAAGAATTGGAGAGAATTCGAGGTTTCTGTTTATATCAGTGGCAGGGTGTCCCCCAGCATCGTGGCCACACCCCAGGCTCAGGAGAGGTGGGCTTATATTCCAGGGATGCAGAAAGGGAGGGCTCCCCAGTCAGCACAGACTAGGAGAGGGAAACAGGAAGCACAGAAGCATTTTAAACACCCCCAAACGGCCCCAGGGGCAGAAGCTTTGGGATCCCATTAGGCATTCTGTGACCAGAGAAGATGTGGGGAGCAGACAGGACCGCTCCCCTCATGAGCTCAGAAGCTGCACTGGCCTGTGCAGCACACGAGGACCATGAGGGGAGCAGGTGACCAGGATGTGGGAGAAATGTCCCCCAAATCCATGTATGGGCCCTGCGAGTTGTCCTGGGCCTGTCCTGATACTGGGTGGGAAGGACAGCTCTTCATGCAGATGTACTCCTGCCTCCAGTGCCACAGTGTGTCCCCTGGAAAAACAGGTTCTGTGTGGAGGTGGACAGAGGAGTGTTCTGTACCTTATGAGGAAGGAGTATTTGGCTCATACTTTTGTTTCTAGGTCATATGGAGACAGTGCTCCCTTCCTGGGGTCTCCTGGACACTGGGATCCTATAGAAACTTCACCAGCTTTGATTCCTGCAATTTTTCAGTTTTCTTGAGGTCCACGTGAAGACCACATTAAAGAGAAAACCACAAATCCAAAATGGGGCCACTTATGCTAAAAGCCCACGATACGAAATCTAGATTTCATACCTGATCTAATTGCAGTTTCAACCTCTTCCAGAAACATAACCAACCAGTCTGGAATTTTCTGGTAAATACCAGTGTAGTGATCTCCATCAGAATGTGACAGTTGTTTGGGCATCACAATACAAGGGGCAGAGAATAGCCTGGAGAATTCTTTGGCTGGAGAGGTTTTGTCTGTGTTTTTTTTTTTTTTAAAGATTTTTATTGGGTAATTGGGGGGATGGGAACAGTGCTGGGGAATTGGGGGAAGGGGAACAGACAAGTTGCTGTCGTTTTGTTCTTCAATCTAGTTGTGGAGGACGCTGCTTCACTGGCCCAAGTTGGCACCATCATTGTGCTCTTCCCGGGCGAGGCAGATCAGTCGCAGGTTTCTGGACGGCCGCTCACTGCGGCTGCTGGCCGCTCACGCTGGCTGCTGGCTGCTGGCTACATACAGTAGCCCATGGCAACCCACTGCCACAGGGACTGCAGCCTACGCCGTCGCCAGCGACTCACGGCAGCCCAGCTCCAGGTTGAGCTGTTGTTCAGCATCTTAGCTGTGGAGGGCAGTGTCACTGGCCCTCATATGTGGGATCCGAACCGGGGCCCTCTGGCATCCCAAGCGAGTTCTTAACCATCGCGCCACTCGGCCGGCCCTTGTCTGTGTTTTAAAACTGCAAAAGAACCAATTGTGATCCACTGCAGCATGGGGATGTCCCAAAATGTGGCAGATCCTTAAATGCTAAATATAGCTCCAGATCTTGTGAGGGAGAAGGTGTTGGTATTTGTGCACTGTGCTTAATCTAGAGAGAGGAAAAACTGAGTTTTATTCCTGTGATTAGTGGTGCTTTCCCATCAAAATCTGTGTTGCTGAGGCCCAAGGGAGGGGCCAGAAGGATCTTTTTGAATTCCCATTTGCATCAGTTGTTCCCTAGGATTAAGGAATATCAGTTATCAGTAATATATACTTGGGAAGGGGCCTTTGGTGATCATGTTTAGGGTCAAGGTCCCTGGTACATGTGTGAACCTGATGTGCCTGTGAAAGGTCAGGATGTAGAAGAGATGCCTGAGCCTAATGAGAAGGTCCTCTGGTCGCAGCTCCTTGATGAAAAGCATACGTGCATTTGGCCCACATTTATTTCTCTCCTTGCAAGATTCTAAAGAGCCTACAGCTCTCACCCTTCGGTGGCTTTCAGAATTGGACAAGTCATAGCCTAGGTTTATTTGCCAAACCTCTCCTCTTGCCTCCATTCTAGCCTCTCCCCAGTCCCCATTCCTACATTAAATCTCAAGCCAGTTTGCTGAGCTGATCTAGTCCTTCTGGGAGGAAATGCCCTTTACCTCCACAGAGGGAAGAAGATTGAATCTCTTCCCTGCCCTTACCTATCACCTTGGGTGTCAGGGATCCACCTGGTTTCCTTTTTAGCCACTCCCCTTTTAAGTTCTCCAGTTCATCCAGGTGAAAGTCTTTGAATTCTGCAAACAACAGATTTTACCTTGCCTTGGGTAATTCCCTCAGTCTCATTACAAATGCCACACTTCTCCCTTCTCCTGGCCAACTCCTAGTTGTAATTTTGACCTGACCTCCTGCAGGGAAGCCTTAACCTTGAGAATCTAGAAGACCCAACCGTCCCTCAGTTGTACCTCTGTTCATCTGTGAATAGGCACACAATTTGCAATTTTAGGTAACAAAGTATAAGTGACTTTGATATTGAGGAATTTTATTTTGTTTTTTTCTTTTTCTTTTGGGATGTCTGTCTGCATAAAGCTGTCTTAACTTGAACATGCAGATAATGATGAGGCCCAGACTTCCCCAGCAAGAGGACTTCCAGGTTGGTTTCCTTTTCTTTTCCTTTTCCTCATGAGTTGACATATAATTCCATTTGTTGGATGGAGGTCCAGTAATAAGGTTTTGCTTTCAATTGGAAGTTGAAATATCAGGATCTGAAAAAGGAGGTGTGGCCAGAAATTGCGGTAAGTGCTTCTGAGAAGCCCGAGGAGGGACCATAAGCTGGAGCAGTAGTCACTACATGGTCCTCCGTGAATCAGAAGCCTCAAGCTGGGGACACTATCCTCTTAACTCCCTCAGCTGGGATTTCCAGAGGCCTGCAGGCCAAGATCCATTAGAGAGTTTTCCTTCCTTTCCTTACAAATGGTAAGCCATGGTGACATCCTCTTTGGATTTCTTTCAGTTAGCGAAAAAAGGTACTAAGGCCGGTATTTTGTAAAAGCAAAGTGACATAACACAAACTTTTAGGAAGTGGAGGATACCTGTATTTCTCTTTTTTTTTTTCTTTTTTTTTAATAAAAGACATCTAATTCATTGTGAANGTTGTATTTACTTTAACTAAATAAGTGAGTTTTGGATATATTATGATAATTCTGTTTTACTGTTAGCTTCTTAATGATAGATTCTTAGTGATAGGCAAGTTATGCACCTTATAATTCTTAAGATCCTGTTTAGCCAGTAGTGTTTGAAACAGTTGCTAAGTAGTAAACATCCTTTAAGTGCCAAGGCAGGAACTCAGCTCTGGCCATTATGAAGAAATTGAAATATAGTTAGGATAAGTTAGTCATTAGGAAGAACAGATCGGGCTGTAATAGAAACATCGGGAGGAAGTAAAATTCGGAGAAAAACAAACTTCTTAGGAAAATAGACCCTGGGAAGGAAGGAACATTGAAACTATGTAGAAAACAATTTCCTAATGGGTAAAGGTTTAAACTTGGAAAAATAACTTTGGGAAAAACAGCTCAATGATGTAGATAGTTACCTGCCCAATATAAAAAGGACAGGCTGTAAAAATAAAGTGAGACATTAATTCTTAAAAGCGCTCCTGTGTCTCCTTGCGCCGACTCCGCCTCCACCTGAGGGAACCCCTGGACCTGCGGGAGCTGGTCTCCCGCACAGATCCATATTAGATACCCAGATTATTACTACCACTAATAAAGGGAGATATTCAACTAGATTGTGAGAGAAATGGCCTAGATTCTGCCGCTGACCTGAAGTCATTGCCATAGGCACATTTTCACTATGAAAATAAAAAAGGGAAACCTCACTTAAAGTGGAGTTGGGGCGCCCTGAATGGGGAACTCTCACCTATGTACCACTTGTTGCAGCCTCCATAACCAAAGGAAGAAGGAAGATAAGAATTATTCTGACAGACTAATTGGAGACACTGGAGACACTGATTCTGTTTGTTTAGAGGTGAATGGAAAACATTTTTTCCCACAGAAATTTCATTTTCTGCATTTAGAAAAGAAAGGCCCCTCGGTGCTCCAGCAACAATGCACTACCCACTGCTTGCAGCCAATGAGACACCACCACAACCTCAAACTCTTGGTTTTTGCCAATGAACTTTAATTCAAAACAACCCTCCTCAATTTCTTCCTAAAACCTAATAAAAGCTGCCTTCCTTTTGTCTCTTCAGACTTGCCCATGGTTTACCAAAATTGCAATTTTCTGCTATTCCCAAATAAACTATTTTTGCTGATGAAATAATTGGCTATTTTAGTTTTGAGGATGACATTACCATCTTTCCAATCTCATATCTTTTTTTTGTTTTTTTAAAGATTTTTATTGGGGAATTGGGAACAGTGCTGGGGAATTGGGGAAGGGGAACAGACAAGTTGCTGTCGTTTTGTTCTTCAGTCTAGTTGTGGAGGACATTGCTTCANGTTGCTTCACTGGCCCATGTTGGTATTGTGATCATTGTGCTCTTTCCGGCTGAGGCAGATCGGTCACCGGCCATTGGACGGTCGCTCACAGTGGCTCATGGCAGCCCACGCCTGCTGCGGGCTGCTCACGCTGGCTGCTGGCCACTCACGGCAGCTCACGGCAGCCCACTGCAGCCCCATTGCAGCCTACACCGTTGCCAGTGACTCATAGCAGCCCAGCTCCAGGTAGAGCTGTTGTTCACCATCTTAGCTGTAGAGGGCAGCATTACTGGCCCATGTGGGATCCAAACCAGCGGCCCTGCTGCTCAGAGCTGGCATCTCAAGCCAACTCTTAACCAACGAGCCACTCAGCCAGCCCCGATAACACTGCTTTTAAGATTTCACATTTAAAATGTTTTAAATGACATAATAGCACCCATTGTGTGGATATTCCTTAACCTTTCTCATCTGGGTTATTCTTTGGAACTTAGAAAAAGGCTGTGCTGGGCCTTGTGATGCTTATTCTAGTTGTTTTTTAGTCCTTGAGTAATAACCAGAAACTTTTCCCCAAAACGGGTGTGGTCAGCTCTCTCAGGCTCCTTGGTACTCACTTCACAGTGGGGCTAGAATTAAGCGCAGTAGTGGGTGGGTATGGGATAGGCCAGGGACCATCTTGCCCCTTCCTTGATGCCTGGTGAGATGCTCGTCTTGCCACCAGCAGGAGCAGAGCTGTGGCTGTGGCCCCTGAGTAGAAAATGGAATCAGGGTAAACTGAGCACTCCCTGACTGTTGCCAGGGCAGTGCCTTTGGCCCTCAGCTAGTTTCTCTGAAGAACGGAGGCATGATGGGGTTGCTTGTGCTCAGCCTGACAAGGGTGCCTCGCTCCCTGGATGTTCCTCCAGGGTGTGTTTCAGAGTCGATTCATCAGGATGACTTTTCCGGACCCAGGCAGGCTTGTGGAACTGGCATGTCAGAGCTTGCTGAGGGAGGAGGCCATGGCCATTGCTGCTCTGGAGTCGCTGCCCGTGGAGCTCTTCCCGCCGTTGTTTGTGGCGGCCTTTGCCGGGAGGCACAGCAAGACCCTGAAGGCGATGGTGCAGGCCTGGCCCTTCCCCTGCCTCCCTATGGGAGCCCTGATGAAGGAGCAGCAGCCTTACCATGAGATCATCCAGGCTGCACTTGATGGACTTGATGTCCTGCTTTCCCAGGAGGCTCGCCCCAGGTGAGGGAGATCCAGTAGCCTGGTAAGGCCTTGGGGGTCAGGAAGAGTGCGGGGCCAAAGGAAGAGCCGGAGGCTTCTGATGGCGTCAGTGAGGATGCTCAGGGAGGCCTTGGAGCTATTTCTGGGGTCACTCTGGGAACAGGTTTCTGGGATATAGGGCTGACTAAAATGCAGAGGTGACCAAAGGAACATGTGCCCACCCCCTCCTGGTGGCACTTAAAAGTACCAAAAAATGGGACCAGGGAGGATCCCAGTAGCACAAGGAGCAGCTGATATATGGGGTATGGAGTAAAAGTGCAGTCAGATGTCTGGTCCAGGTACCTAGATTCCTAAATTCATGGTCTTACACTCTGTTGATCTTAATGCATCTCAGTCTCTTGTTTTCCCTGTAGGAGATGGAAACTGCAAATGCTGGATTTACAGAAGAACTCTCATCAGGACTTCTGGGCCAGGTGGTCTGGAACCAAGAGCAGTATGTGCTCACTGTTGGAGCCAGAGATGGTCCAGCCCATGAAGAAGCGGCAAAAAGTTGACAGTTCAGGGGTGTGGTCGAAGCCACCCTCTGCCTCCATGGAGGTGTTCATAGACCTTTACCTCAAGGAGGGCACTCCTGATAAGTCTATCCGTTACCTTATTAAAAAAGTCAGGCAGAAGAGAGGTTTACTACACCTGTGCTGTGAGAAGCTGCAGATTTCTTCAGTGTCAGTGCAAAACATTAGAATACTGCAAATGGTGCAGCTCGACTCTGTCCTGGATTTGGAAGTGAATTGCACCTGGAAACTGTTCGCCCTGGAGAAGTTCATTCCTTACCTGGGCCAGATGGGCAATTTGCACCGGCTCACCCTCTCCCATATCTACATGTCTTTCCACATCACCCCAGAGCAGGAGGAGCAGTGTGCTAGCCAGTTCAGCTCTCAGTTCCTCAGCCTGCTCCACCTCCAGGAGCTCTATTTGGACTCGATCTCCTTCCTCCAAGGTCACCTGGACCAGTTGCTCAGGTGAGGGATGGCAAGGTTTCTGTGCAGACCAGAGCAAGCCCCTTTTCATTTCAGTTAAGAATAATGAGCATCCCCTGTGTGCCAGCCATCGACAGTGCCCAAATGCATGAGTCACTAGAAGATTCACACAGTCGGTGTCTTGTTCTTGGCTCTGCCCACTTGCATGTCGTCACGTAATCCCCAGATAGAGGTTAGAGGTATGAACTAGGACAGATGCTATTAAAAGGATTCCTTTCCAGGAATTTATATAATGGGGACTTTGGGCCAGGTGAGGGTGGCTTTCGGAATTCTTCCCTTAAGAAGTGATGTCTAAGTGAAGATGATGGAAAACAACTGAGTGAGGTGAGCAGTGATGAGGGGAAAGGCCAGCAGATGGGAGGTTTCAGATCTTAAGCTCTGTGCTCAACACTTGCTCAACAGAAGCTTCTCCCTTCAAACCTGCCTCAAATTGCCTGTCTTTCAAGCCTTGTTTTAGGCTCTACCTAAGGGAATATGTGGGAAATGCAGGATTTTGGAGTAAGGAATTGCAAAAAAGGTAGATGGTTTATGGATGATATAGTGATCCAAGTTAGTTCCTGCAGTGTGGCAGCCCTCACTAGATGTTGCCAGACCTTGCCCAAGTTAGGCCTTTCTGCATGTCTCCCAATAGCCTTATCAGGCACAGAGATAAGGGTGACGGGGGTTCAAGCTGTGGCCAGAAGGAAGCCCTAGTTGAAAGCATTTTCGGTCATGTCTCCCAATACTAAAATTCGTTGATTCCCTTCTCCTGCTTGAGACATCGGGTCAGGCTGCCCTCTGAGCATCTTGACCTCCATTCATGCACACACCACCTGTGGGGGGATATGATATGCTCTGCTTGACAGATGAGCAAAGGGAGTGTGTGAGGTTTCAGTCACTTGAACCAGTCACACAGGAAATAGTGATGAAGAAAGGATGCCACTCACACTTACACTGAGTTAAATGCTTCTGCTTTTCGCCATGTGGTATCCTGGGGGTTGACTGTCATCTGGAAAACTTTGGGTTTTGGTGAAATGGGCCTCCTTCCCTTAAGGTGTCTCATCTCTACCTCCCTCCACCCACCAACTCCATCCCCCAGAACTAACTGCTCTGTCTCTCTCCAGGTGCCTGAAGACCCCTTTGGAGACCCTGTCAATCACTAACTGCCTGCTTTCGGAAATAGACTTGATGAACCTGTCCCAGAGCCTGAATGTCAGTCAGCTGAAGGACCTGAGTCTCACTGGGGTCAACCTGACCAGTGTAAGTTATGAGTCCCTCCAAGTTCTGTTAGAGAGAGCCTCTGCCACCTTACAGGACCTGGAGTTGGATGACTGTGGGATCATGGACATTGAGTTCACTGCCATTCTGCGTATCCTGAGCCACTGCTCCCAGCTCACAACCTTCAGTTTCTGTGGCAACCCCGTCTCCGTGGCTGTACTGGAGGACCTGCTGCGCCACACCACCGGGCTGAGAAAGCTGAGCCAAGTGCTGTATCCTGCCCCCGTGGAGAGTTACCAGGATATCCGCGGCAACCTCGACCTGGGCATTCTTGCCCAGATGCACATCAGGCTGAGGCAGGTGCTGCAGGAGTTGGGGCGACCAGGCGTGATCTGGTTCGGTGCCAACCACTGTGCTAACTGTGGTAATAGGCTCTTCTATGACCCGGATCCCATCTTGTGTCACTGTTATATGTCTGTCTAGCTGAGTGCACATATCATAGGCTTTATTCTGGGCACTTGGACACTGAAGCCCAGACCTAAGTGCATCTTCAAGGAACATAGCAGCCACAGTTTCAGACAACTGCTCAGTGTGAGCAAGAATAGGAGAGGTGGTTCCGGGGATGGAGGGAAAACGTTGACTTAAGAAGTTACTGTTTTTTTTAGGGAGATGTGTTCTATAGAATTAGAGATATAAGTCAATTTCTAGAGGGGGATTCGGGTGTGGAAAGTAGAATGTGGGAGTTACCACTACATGAATGGTTGTAAAGAAATGGTCAGAAATAAAGGGAACCTCCTGTTAACCATCTGGCATCCTCTATGATATGTTAACCTGATTCTCCAATTTAAACCTTAGAAATCTTCAGTTACTTATCAAACAAGAAGGAATGAGCATGCCCAGACACTCTATCATTAGAGTGTTGGATGAGTGTATCATGCTGGACAAGGTTGGGCCCCAGAAGTTCATGGCACCATTTATCATTCCCTACGTTTGGTTCCTTTCTCTGATGCACGTGTTACATTCTCACTTACCTCTGTGACAATTCAATCGGTCAGTGCACAAGGTGCATCCACGGGGCATGGAACATACTAAATGGCCTATAGTGAGCGCCACTGGAATTAAAGTTTTCAGGCTGTCACTGCTAAATCCACCCAGGCCCTGGACTCGAGCACTCCTCCCCAGTGCTTCCATCGTTGGCCTTTGGCTGCACCAGGACAGAGCTTAATTGCCCAAGTCAGGCCCCCAGTACTGAAGGGGACATCCACCCTGTTGGTGAGCTGGAGCCTCAGCCTCACCAACCCATGCCTGTCATCCCATCTGGACCAGCCCCTTCATGTAGCCAGTAAAAACATCTAAATTCCTTTTAGCAAGATACTAAGATCATATGGGCATATAACATTTACTTAGTATTCGTGTCCCCCATTAAATATATAAAATCTTTTTGTGGGTGCTAGGTCATAACAATGCAAGAATGACTTTCTTCCCAGGTGATCTTATAGGGTTTCAGAAAAGTCACCCCAAGATGTGCTTCTGTGGAATATGGATTATTTTGAACTGAAGGCAGTTGAGACTGCAGCCTTACAAGAAACTTTTATCTCTCCCTTAAAGAACTTAAATTAGGGGTCTTGCCCATAATACGAGTTATCACCAGAAGTAACTTTTTATGACATGTCTATAGGGCAGGGCAAATTTCTAGTCATTGAACTTCTGCTCTTATCCTGCAAATGGCCTTCCTCCCTTCTTTACCTCATACTTAGAATACCATATATACCTCAACATCCCTTTCTGCCTCTGACTTTCATGTAACTGGTGTTCCCATATATATGTATATAATTAAATTTGGTTATTTTTTTGTTGTTAATCAGCCTCATCTTGCTTATTTGATTATGAGACCAACTGAAAGAACCTTGGGGGTAGAGGAAACTTCCTTTCTCCCCCTCCCTCCTTATCAAAGAGGTGATAAACCAACTCTGAGCCAGTGAGAGGCCCTATATTTTGGGTCCCAAGAGTGAACAACACTATGCCAGATCCCAGGGGGGCACTTAGGTGGATGCAGGTAAATGTCAAGACATGGGAGGTGGGGGTACGGAGGGACCACACTGAAGGGCAATACATACAAATGAAAAGGGGATGTCATACTGTTGATTTGGACCCCATGGTCAGGGACAGTTGGTCTCCCTGTGAGCAAGAGGCCCCCTGCTCCCATGCCACTGTGTCCTGGCTCTAGGCTATCTAACCCCCTCACTGCATAGCCTCCCAGAGAAGCACCTGAGGAGGTCACACACCCAGATGTTTCCCCTTTCCCTGAGTGTGAGCAAGTCAGTGCTTTTTCTCCTTCCAGTGCCTCTTATTTGGTGCTGCCCACTCATGTGCATGCTGCTGCCTCTGCTGGGTGTCAGTAGCTTCCGGTGTTGCCACACACAGCAAATGTCCCTTCTCCAATCCCCTATGCCCCATAAGAAAGAACCAGAAATGAACCCATCAGCTAGTGGGCACATTGCTGTTTCTGAGCAATAAGAAAGTGCAAAAATTTCTATAGCTGATGGTGTGCCCCCAAATAAAGGGAGTCAGGAAAAGATGTCTTAATTTTCCCAATGTGCACCCTGTCTCAGCATCCCCAACATAAGCCCAACTTACACGGAATAGTTTCCAAAACAGGAACCAGTACTTCTGTAATTGGAAGAAAAGTGTACAAAATGGGCAGGTTCTCCTGGAGGAAGAGCAAAAGTAAAGCATCACATTATCTCAGCATCGGGTTCCTCAGCCACAAAATAGAGATAATACCCCAAAATGTGGTGAGCTTCACCTACAGAGCTAACTTATGGGGTGTGATCAAACAATATGGTGAATGTTTAAATTTATAAAACAAAATTATTACAGTAAAAGACATTGCCATTAATCCCCCTCAAAATACTCCCTCTTTTTTTGAACACATCCCATTGTTCTTGCCAGTTTCTGAAGTAGTTCTGGAAGTCCTCTTTTGTGAGTGTCTTTAGTTGCACTGTCATGGCTGCCTCGATGTTCTGAATCATTTTGACTTTGAAAATACTCCCTCTTTTTTTGAACACATCCCATTGTTCTTGCCAGTTTCTGAAGTAGTTCTGGAAGTCCTCTTTTGTGAGTGTCTTTAGTTGCACTGTCATGGCTGCCTCGATGTTCTGAATCATTTTGACTTTGAAAATACTCCCTCTTTTTTTGAACACATCCCATTGTTCTTGCCAGTTTCTGAAGTAGTTCTGGAAGTCCTCTTTCGTGAGTGTCTTTAGTTGCACTGTCGTGGCTGCCTCGATGTCCTGAATCATTTTGACTTTGGGGAAGAGCCTAAAGTCAAATCGTGCCAGGTCCAGTGGTTGAGGACACACCATAATGTTTTTATTTGACAGAAATTGCCATATGCCAGAAGCGATGTGTGACACACAGCATTATCATGATGGAGGATGATTTAGGGCACACTTTAAAATACACCTTCTCCCAACCGTAGCTCACATCTGATTGACTGCACCTAACATGTTGAAACTTGTCACACAGTTACTAAGGTTCGACGCACCATTTCCTGTATTGAAGATACCTGCCTTGCCATTGGATGGCACTTGGCAGCAGCATTCACTGTATTTTTAATCACACCTAGTATATAAAGCACTTTTGCTCTGTTCAAGGATGACCCATTATTATTAGCCACCAGATGCAAGCAAAGGAAGAAAAACAAAAGCCAATGCTGCATCTTGCTTCTAAAACGGTGCCCTGGAACTTTATTTGGTCTGGAGACCTCATGTGAGAAGTAAATCTGGTAAAATTCTTTATTCAGAATTTAGATTTTTTCCATCAAAATATTCCAAGAGGCATAGTATCAAGGCAATGAGGTTTTGAAAAGTTGAGTTTAGATATAGACCTCATCAGTGAAGATGGCCAAACAAGAGGCCTGGGGAGGTGGTAACTGCTGGTGCACAGGGGTTGGGTAGATGAAGGCCCTATGTGTAAGGGATCTCAAGGTCATCAGAAAGCAAGTAGGGGAAGTGCATACACAGTAGGTTGCTTAGTATTAATGATTCACCCTGGAGTCAGCCGATCTGCACAGCTGATAGGCAGGTTGAATTTAGGGCAGCTGGGACATAACAGATGTCAAAAGGAAGGATCTGAATACAAAAGAGCCAGAGCACAATCTAATGCAACACATCCAGGGAATTATCCAGAGGCAGAAATGAGACTAAAAGAATGGGGACTAGGCATAAAGAAGAAATTAAATTGTTTTAGGAGAGTGAGTCGGGGAGAACAACTATTTGACAAATTGCTGACTGGACCCAAAATCCAGATCTGTTGGGAGCCAGCTGCACCTCAGTGTCCCACATGGCCTATCACACTGCTATTGTGACAAATCCTGAAGCTCTGGCTGAGAAACAGATACTGCTTTATGTTTTGGAAATTTTAAATTCCCCTTTGGATGCCCCCAGTAGGATAAAGATCTGACACACCTTCTTATATTGATTGTTGTATTTACTTTAACTAAATAAGTGAGTTTTGGATATATTATGATAATTCTGTTTTACTGTTAGC